AAGCTCTGCTCTGGAAGCTATGCTCTGAGTCTCTGTCTGTGCTTAGGTGCAAAGCTCAGAGGGAGGTTGCTGCTAAAGGGGCTTTCTGAATGTTTGTTCCCAGAATTCACTGCAGCCCATTGCTATCCGACTGGGATCTTGAAGGCTGAGATAGGTTGTGACTTCCAACTCACTGCACTCAACCCCTTTCCACTGCCATCAAGGGAGTCATGACCCTCCCCACTGGAGCACAAGACTCATTTGGGTCTAAGAAGAAGAGCAGAAGCAGCAAATCCTTGCCTTTTGATCATGGCAGCCATTGGAGACATACATCCCAGTAAGCACAACTAGTTTCATGTAGAGGAAAGATGGAGGTATCAGTTTTCCCTTTGCAAGTATCAGTGCAATGCTTTGCTGGGCATGGGGAGAGTGATATTTTTAAGACGCATTTTCCCCCTGATGTTCCAACATGAAATGAGAGTGTGCTGGGAGCCAAGGGTATTGCCTGCCTTCAGGGAAGAGCAATTTAAACACTTCTAAGACTCGCCTCCATGGAATATGAAATAGGCTCTCAAAGCACTTAAGGAGGCAAGCACATTTTTAATTTTCTCTGTAATAGAGACAGGTTTCAAATGATGATAAAAGTGTGAGAAGTATGAGGAGAGACAGAAGTAGATGATAAAAATGAAGGAACAAGAAAGAGAGAGGGACAGAGCCTGTGTAACAGCCAATAGCAATCAAAGTTTGCAAAGTTTTGCCAAGAAATGGATTCCAAAACACGAGTGGAGGGGCAGGACTTTTTTTTAAGCTAGAACTAAGCATGCTTTGTGTTTTGCTATATAGCCTGTGGGAGGCTGGTTGTTTCCTTGTAAAACATGCTGAGACACCAACATATGATTCTGGGAACCTGCAGACACCTTGAGGGAACACCCTATGTATTGAAGGTGAAGGGTCGTACATACTCATCCCACATTTCAACCTCTCATTCTGACAAACCTTCCTTTTCCCTGTCACTTCTTTTTCAGATGCAAGTGCCTGTGACAAGTGCCCTGAGGATTACTGGTCCAATGAGAACCACACATCCTGCATCCCCAAGCAGATAGAGTTTCTGTCCTGGACCGAGCCCTTTGGGATCGCTCTGACTCTCTTTGCTGTGCTGGGAATTTTCCTGACTTCTTTTGTCCTGGGAGTCTTCACCAAATTTCGCAACACACCCATCGTCAAGGCCACAAACCGGGAGCTGTCCTACCTCCTCCTCTTCTCCTTGCTCTGCTGCTTCTCCAGCTCGTTGTTTTTTATTGGTGAGCCTCAGAACTGGACTTGCCGTCTGCGGCAGCCAGCTTTTGGCATCAGCTTTGTCCTCTGCATCTCCTGCATCCTGGTGAAAACCAACCGTGTCCTGCTCGTTTTTGAGGCAAAGATCCCCACAAGCCTCCACCGAAAGTGGTGGGGCCTCAACCTCCAGTTCCTCCTGGTCTTCTTGTGCACGTTCGTGCAGATTGTCATCTGTGTGATTTGGCTCTACACGGCCCCACCATCCAGTTACCGAAACCATGAACTGGAGGATGAGATTATCTTTATCACCTGCCATGAAGGCTCCCTGATGGCCCTCGGCTTCCTCATTGGCTACACCTGCCTCCTGGCAGCCATCTGCTTCTTCTTCGCCTTCAAGTCTCGAAAGCTGCCTGAGAATTTTAACGAGGCCAAGTTCATCACCTTTAGCATGCTGATATTCTTCATTGTGTGGATCTCCTTCATCCCTGCTTATGCCAGCACGTATGGCAAGTTTGTCTCTGCCGTGGAAGTGATTGCGATACTGGCTGCCAGCTTCGGTCTCCTGGCCTGCATCTTCTTCAACAAAGTCTACATCATCCTCTTCAAGCCCTCCCGCAACACAATCGAGGAGGTGCGCTGCAGCACAGCTGCCCACGCTTTCAAGGTGGCCGCCAGGGCCACGCTGAGACGGAGCAATGTGTCACGCAAGCGCTCCAACAGCCTGGGGGGCTCCACCGGCTCCACCCCTACCTCTTCCATCAGCAGCAAGAGCAACCATGAGGACCCTTTTCCTCTACCAGCCTCTGCCGAGCGGCAGCGCCAGCAGCAACGTGGGTGCAAGCAAAAAGTCAGCTTCGGGAGTGGTACGGTCACCCTGTCACTGAGCTTTGAGGAGCCTCAGAAGAACGCCATGGCCAACAGGAATGAAACTGGAGGCCCAGAACAGTGACGACAGCCTGATGCGACACCGGGCGCTGCTTCCCCTGCAGAACAGTGAGCCCCTCAGCACTGAGCCCAGCTTCCAGGCAGCTTCCAGCCTGGAGACCAGCTCGCAGGAGTCAGTGGTGGGAGACACCAAAGAAGAGGTGCCAAGCCCTGAGGTGGAGCTTTCCCTGCCATCGGCTAACTCCCGAAATTTTATAGGCGCTGGAGGTGTCTCTGTCACAGAGAACACGGTACATTCCTAACGAAAGAAGATTGTGAAGAGCACACCAGGCCCCAAGAGGAGCTTGCTCACCTCTTGCTTCTGAACGGGAAAGATAACAAACTCCTGGGACACAGCCCCACCACACCTTACTGTTAGCGCCGGCAGGGTAACACATGTGCCTCCAGAGGAAAGACTGTGTCTGGGGAGCCTTGGACTGAGTTTGTGTTCGCTTTATTGAAACCAGGACATCTCAGAAGGACAAGTGAAGATCGCCTCTGGTGGGGCTTAAGCAGAAGTCTGCATGCTGCCTTGCCTCCGTAAGCTTTTCCTGCCAGACTGCAACTCGGCTGACTATGGAAGGCACTAGGCAATTCCACTATACTCTGCTTTTACATTTATGTATAATATTCCTCTTTCCCACTATGTACAATATTCCCTCTTTATCCAGTATATGTGATCTGTAACCATGTGCATCAGGACTCTGAGCTCTACAAAAGCAAGGTACCCGGTTTCACTTGGGGAAAGCACAGTTGAGGGGAAAATAAAAAAGCCCCCAACATCCTGCTTGCTGTGTACAGCCAAGGGTGTGAACATGTAAAGTATTTAATGTGACAGAGTGCCCTGCTATTTATATTTAGTAATGTCCCAATCTCTCTTTTCTGCCCAGCAGAAAATACTGGACAATATTCTTCATAGACTCCATTGCACTAGACCAAGCTACTAGGTTCCTACTGGTTTCCTCCAGCTGAGATAGCTTTACCTCCAGCCTGCCTGCTTTGGTGGAGGGGGACAACAGCTTGTAAATCCCCACCACCCCCCCCCAGAGAACGTTGCAACAGCATAATGAGATGTATCCGTGATTGATTATGTCGCTAGTAGTTGTATTCTTAACAAAGTATTGCTGCTGTAATATTCCACATGGCATACATGGCTAACCCTTTCACACCATAGTCAGTGTTGTGCTTTGCCATATTAATCTGCATCACGCCTACACAGAGCATTGCACTAGTTGTGATGATACTGGTGCGCCAGATACAAAGCAAATGAAACGAGGTGAAATGGAGGAGTTAGGGATGGAGAAATAGCCTGCTGATGGGGTAATATGATTGCAGGAGTGCGTGAATATCTGAAGCGCGTGTGCTCGTAGATGGCTGGATGAGGAAGACATACAGGCCTGGGCTCTGAGACACGCACAAAGACAAATGGATAAATTGGATATGTTTTGGCTCCTATAGGCCACCTACCAGGTTATTTCCCTCCTGGCTCATCTTGAAGAGAGGGCATCTAGCACAAGAAGGATGGACTGTACCTAAGAAAAACAGTAAGGACTTCAGCAGAGAGCATAGCAGAACTTCATTACTCTTTACACTTGTCCTACTCCGTCAAAACCAGACATAAGTGCTTCTGGGTTTCCAAGGCATGCCTAGTTCTTCTCCATCCATGCTGGAAAGGCTGGAAGTAGGAGAGTCATTAGAAGAGCTATTTGTTGCAGCCTGATGAGAGAAAAAGCACCCCTCGACAGCCTGGCAGGAGGGGTGGGATTACATTGCAGAATTTATTTGCTTTATTTCCTTCTTCCCAGATCTCGTCTGCAAGAACAAGTGTATGACATGGAGATGTCAGTACTCCTCATCAGACAAGAAGGTAGTCTAGACTGCTATGGAAAGGTAGATGGGCCTGAAGCTTAGTGCGAGTTGGGACAAAAGGACTGTGTGAACGCATTGGGGAAAATACCACGATTCTCTTGTTACTGTTTTAGTTTCGTTGTTCTTTTGCCAAGGCAGGCAAATAAAACTTACAGGTGACATTACTGAATAAAACCTTTGGTTTTCCACCTCCACTTGTTGCTGATGAGAAGGAGTTTTGGCTTAGGAGAGCACAGTGGAAGTCCAGAAACCCAAGGAGTACACTATTAAGGCAAGTTATGTTAACACTTTTGTTGATCTCTTACATTCACCTCAGAGTGGGCTCAGATTTTAATTATACCACATAAGAACAAACCCAACTTTAAATGTAAGGCCTGCAAATTACAATCTTTGATGAAAGCTATGGCACAGCAGGTTAAAAAGAAAAAAGAGAAGTTTGAAAACACAAATCCTTGTGGGCACACTTTTGGAAACCACATTCTACTCCTTGACCCAGTGGGAGTTGCTCATTGCTTCTGAAAAACGAGGCCCCTTCCCCAGGATGCTGACTGTGGCATCTAGGCTTAATTTAGGGTACGTAACTGAGACCTGTGGTCTCCTAGGTCTAAATGCACGAACGGAAATGGGCACTAGATGGCAGAAAGGGCTAAAAAAGTACTTTGGTTATGGCCCACACTTCCAAAAATTTCATTAGCCAAATAGCTTTAGTGCTGATGAATCATTCCTACAGGCCAAACCCAGTGCAGTAGCCCCTGAATCAAAGTTGACAGCATTGAAAGCATAGAAGTGCTTAATTAGTGAAATGAAAACATCACAGGATTCAAACTGAAGACTGTGCACAAACACATGCAACAGGAGAAACAGAAAGTCACCACTGGCTGCCTTCTTTGGAGAATGATATTCACTGGCTATGCACACTGTAGATAATGTTGACATTTGTGTGTTTTTCATTCTTTGGGTGGTTTTCGTTCTTTAGGTGTTTTTCATTCTTTACATCTCCTTAAAAGGAATTTGTACCCTGGCACACGATGAGGCTCCAACAGCTGCCATAATTTTATAGGAACACACCATCCGCGCTTAACTTGTTGGGGAACCCCCGTCCAGCCTCACAGCATATGTACCTTGAGCTGTGTGAGAGCCGCTGCTGCGGCCTATTGTAGCGACACAACATGCTAGATGCAAGAGAAGTTCAGTAAAAAAGGCCCCCTTTGTGAAGGTGATTCACAACCAAAACCTTTTTCCCATTCACGGAGGAGATCGTATGTTACCATCCTGCCAAGTCCACGAGAAGAAGAGGTGTATGCAGACACCTGTCCAAAAGCCTGTCTGCGTGTCACAAAAGACAATACTGATGAAGACAAGTTGGATAACATCCTTATGTTGAAAGCTCAAGCCTGAGAACCTCCACTGACATGTCCCACCAGAAGTTGCCCATGTGAGTGGCTGTGCTATCCCATGGCTCAAAAACCTACGGGAAAGCATGTGCCAATGTGGTGTTTCCTGATCCATCCAGTAGCAAAGCAACAGCAGTGTGTATCAGCTCTCTGGTGGGATGGCATTGGCAAACTGGGTTCCACTGGCAAATTTGGCTGATGGGCAGGGAACTGTCCCAGTGAAGAGCCCGATCCTTCACCCTTACTCTGCTCATAAACCTGGCAGAGCTGTGCCTGCCAAGCAGAGCATTTATTGGAAAGAGATGATAGCAGGGGAAAGAAATCCTTCCTCATTCTGTTTCATGCTTCTCACTATGTCCTCTCTACCACTGCAGGAGCTCCATTCAGTGTGCAATACCTGCTGCTGTTAAATTTAGGGTTGTACTTACCAAATGTACCAAGGGATGCTGGGAAGCAGAGGGAGGAAGGTAGGGTTTTGTTGTTGTTTTTCCAGTGAATCTGGATGTTTAAATTGGGGGCAAATTTAGCTAGAGACCTGGGCGTTCAGATTAAAGTCTCACCAGGGGGTTTCTCAAAGGCTGGATAATTCACTACAGCCTTCGGCTGGCTGGCTGAGGAACAGCAAAATCAGCCTGAGAGAGGGAACGGTGAACACTGTGAACCAGGGAGTCCCAGGGATGGAAATTTCCATGCTGCTGAAACAAACATGTCATGCAGGTGACAGCTGCTGGAAAACGTGACACCCTAGAAAAGAAAAAAAGCTGCAGTTCAGGGCAGCCCTGTCCTCACGCGGGACAGTCCCAGAGGTGTCACCTACCGAGGACAGGATGCAGACCTCCTGTGGATCGTTCTGCAGGCACCTTTTAGTGCAGTTCTTGGCTTTTTTTTCTTCCGTCAGCCAGCAGACTACGGGACGGGAAGCATTCTGCCAAGCCCGGAGGGCTGCTCCCACTGTGTTGTACTGAACAGCAAATTCCCCCGGCCTGGACACCTCCCTGGCGCGATCGCGGCCTCCGCGGC